GCTGAACGTTTTGATGTTTGAACGGAGTTTCTGCGATGTTGAATGCAGGAGGAGAAGAGGTGCAAAATTCCGGCGGAATAATAATAATTTTGTCCGTAGAATAATATCTAGTTGGAATGCTGTATCAGCATTCCCACTAAATGAATATGAAGTTTAATGGAAAATCTCAGATTTTTTTGGGGAAATGGGGAAGTCTCAAATGCACCGTATGGTGATATTGACTCACCTGCCTGTTTCTATGGCCAGGCTGTGAGCACTCAGTCTGTACTTTGTCAACATCTTCCTGTGTTTAACATCACTCTCTGTGGTCAGGTAGGCTTCCAGTGTACTGTCTTTTTAGGGCCAGATAGCATTGCATTTTACTTTGTGTTTGGGATTTAGTGTTCCAATAAGTGAGGTAGTTTTTTGTGTGTTTTGTTATAATTTGGTTGACTCTAATAGTTGTGGGCTCAGACTGGTCCTGAGGCAGATCACAGTTTGAACCGGTTTGTGAACAGAGTGTCAGGAGTCAGGACCAGCTGAGAGAGGTGACTCTTTTCCTTTTTCATCTCTTGATACTGCAGGGCTTTGTGGTGGTAGGAGTGGGGGTCACTTTCTTTTAGATGTAGACAATATTTAATTGACGTTTCTGGATTTTTATTAATAATGGAAATGTGCCTCATCATCTAACTTTGCGTGGGGACTCAAGTTGGCCAGGGACGGCCCTGATGGCAAGGCAACTGCTGTTAAGGAATATATTTTCCATGCCAGAATGAGCTATCCATCAGCAGAGAAGATTTCAACCCCTACAAATTAATATTTAGGAGAGAAAACTTTGGAATATGACAACCTTAAGCATAGGCGGCGCGTGAGGCTCAGGTTTGGGAAGGCTAAATAACTTTTTTTACCTGACGCTGCCCGCCTCCGGCGTCTATAGAAAAGAGATCAACTCAGTGAAAGCACCGCCTGCTGACCAATCAGAGCTCAGTGTGCAGAGTTTAAATCTATCAAGTCATATTACAGGATAAAGGAAATACAGTTTAAACTTCCGTATGCAGTGCAGAGAAGACACGGACGTGTCGCACTTATCATTCATATCACATCATCAATCAGATCATCGATCATATAATATCATAATATATCATATATTTCCTTATCTGAGTCAGCTTCTTGAGCCGTATCTGGCCGTGCAACACTTACATTGTCACATACTGTATGCAGAAGTATTATTTTAAGCAACACATTAGGTTGACGAAACACTCAACTCAAATGTAATTAAAGTCAGATCCACTCGTGTCTTAGATGGGGCAGTGATATCATAAAAACTGTTGTACGCTTTCAAACACTCGGTAGTTTATTTATTTTTTAACCAGTTGTTCTATATTCACCTTGCAGGTGCAGCTATGTGGCTTGTATCCTGGATTATATGTTTAAGTCATGGATGTTTAAAGTTCATATTTGTCTAATATTAGTTTACTTTTCATTAATGAAGTATGACGCTGCGCTGTCAGTACACTTGTCCCGGTTTGTGATTGGTCAAATGTTGCTAACCCCGCCCTTTTCACGTGAACGCGCTCTCAGCTGGAGAGAGAAACCCTGGCTTGATTTACCGAGTTGATAACCAGCTTCGTAGGACCGCTTAGCGAGATCTCGTTTGTTAGGGTTAGTTAAGATAACTCAAACATATCCAGGGTATGTTGAACTGGCTTCGTAGTACAGGGCACAGATGGCTGCATAGCAGCGCTAATGTCAAAGACACAAACATTATACATTATATTTTAATTTTACCAGGATGCAGTGACAAAAATATGAAGTCTTTAGAGTTAATTATCTACCAACTTGACACACTGTTCGTGTGATATTTGAATGTTCCTCTTGGCAGGTCAGGTCACATTTTTTAAGTAACCTTCCAAACTCTGTGGGCAAAGTATTTGCAACCCTATCTGCTTCATGATTGGCTATTTGCAAGAGGATGCTATCCACCACAGTTTTGTGCTGCTCTTTGTTGTCAAGGCTTGTGTCCCCTGTAATAACTATTGCGCAATGGATAGAGTCAGTGGTCTGTAATGTGTTGGAACAGCTCCAACAGCTCTGCTCTTTTTTCTCCAACATAGCTCTTTCTAACCTGGAGGCAAAGTTCCATTTTGCTGGAGGAACACGTAGGCAGACGAAAAGATTCTTAAATAAAAGCCTGCAAACTGTTCATCCAGACAGCATTGAGCTACTTTATTAGATCTGCATTAATTGATTCATTTAAATATTTGTATTGCATCTCGGATATGACACATTTTTGGGTACATCACATAAATGAAAGATATAAAATGGAAAAAAGCATCATTTTGTGAGTTTTTTTCATGATAAATTCATTTTTTTCATGATAAATTCATTTTTTTATACATATATATATACATATATATACATATATATATATATATACATATATATACACATACATATATATATGTATGCAAGTATTGCTAATGGCATTGTTTTTACGTTTTTAACATAGTCCTTAGCCTACCTAGAAATAATTCCACCAGCCGCCACTGTTTAGCAAGTGTGCAGAGCAATGTTGATTTAAAATAGCAATTTGAAGGCTTGATATGTGTAAAAAGATCTTGTGTATTACCCCCTCGAACCTCCACACAGAGCCCCCCCACATATCAAATCCCAATTTAACCCCTGCTATTAACCCTTGTTGAGAGAGAGCTTTTCAGTGGTTGTGGGCACATGTCAGTCATAACCAATAATATTAATCCACTGGGTCTTTACTTTGTTTGATGATGGGAGCAATGAAGGCTTTTCTGTTGATTCCTGCATATGAAGCGTTACCAGGCCGTGGCGTGGAAATAACAATGGCAAACAGAATTAAAGCTGCAAGCAGCGTTGAGCGGGTCTTCGACGCTCCGCAGGCTGTTGTCCGCACGTCGACGTGTCACGTAGGTGTCTCGAGGACTCGGCCGTTGGCAAACGTGGGAAGTTTCAGGCCGATTGGACAATGTATTTAGGAGTTACAGCAGTATCATAAACATTGTGTTTGATGGCGAGTGATCTGTCGCCATGGCAACGGAATTTGATGACACCCCATAATACGCCTAGATGTGTTGAGGGCTGCGCCCACGTGACTGGGCTCACGCGGCCTATCAGCCGTCATGATTTCCGAACCTTTTCTGCGCTTTTGCCGGTCGTTTTCCCTGTTTTGGGTGTGTTTTACAGGTTTATCTCAATAGGGTCTTCGCCGACCTAGGTCTCAGACCCTAACAACAAGAACAACAAGTATTCTGATGGCAGGGATTGTCAGTTGGCTTGAGTCAGTGGCACATAAACCCCATATCTGGTTTTAAATTGCTCGTTATTACACTATTTTGGAGAAAAAAATATCTTTACTCATTTGTGAGGATCTCAAGACACAGAGACACATTGCAAAGCCATGGAAAATGTGTATTTTGCATTAAATGTCACATTTAAAGTGGACCTATCATGCTATATTTGAATAATATAGTGTAGGACCATACCTATATAAGGCATATTTATACTTTTTTTTTTTCAAAATACCAAACAGATCATGCATTTTAGCCATGCCTCATTTCGCTCAATTTGAAAAATGTTAGCTCTGTTTTTGCAAGGGTTGATTCTGTGAGCAACAGCACCATCTAGAGGCCTGGCATATGTACTACAGCGTCTCCAGCGCTTTCGAACGGCAATGCCGTGGTTGTCTCCTCCTGATTGGTGGAGTTGGCCCAATAGCCGTAGCGCCACCGTCCTGACGTCAGGACAGTGTTCAAATCTGGATCAGTTTTTATCAGATCCGTTGCAGCCCCTTTTTTAGAGATTTGGGTATGGAGGAAAATAGAGAGGGTTGTGTTTTCTGACACTTGGTGAGTTCCCTGGAACACCGGGGACACATATTCATGTATAAAAGACGTACAAAAGTGCATTTTGCATGATAGGTCCCCTTTAAGTTAAGTTTGTTAATAGTTAATTTATGATTAGGGTTTAGTTGGTCAGTCTATACAGACTTTTTAAAGCAGGGCTGTGCGATTATGGCAAAAATCATAATCACGATTATTTGGGTCAATAATTGATATCACGATTATTAAATACGATTATTCATTGACTTTGAAAAAATCCATTTATTGAACTTTAAAACAAATACAAATAATAATTTGAACAGTATCTTTTTAACTGTCAACTGAAAAACCAATACAAAAATAAATAAAATAAATGATACATTTAAATAAATAATATCAAAATAATAAATACCAATAAACAAGATCAACAACTATTTTGGAGCGCACTTCCCCAAGCTACTAAACATATATAAATATGATAAATACAAATAAATGAGACCAAAATGTATTTGATCAAATATGTTGCAGTGCACTGTCACAACCTAGCAAAGCAAAATAATTGTTTTTTTCGATTATGTTGTTTTCGTAATTGTGGCAGGCCAAAATCGTAATTACGATTAAAATACGATTAATTGCACAGCCCTATTTTAAAGAAACACTATTTGTATTTATAGCACTATTTTATTGCAATGGATTTATCACCAACATGAATACAACCTGAATATACCCTACCATTAGAGACAAGAGTCAATACAGTGACATTTGCAGAAGCTCACCTAACCAAACAACTAGAGCACACAGAGTGTATCTGATCTGGCACTAGATCAGATGTACTCGTTGACTTGACAGACTTTACTGATCAGGTCATGGTATGCGTTTCTCTGAAATCCTCTGTGCGAATTTTTCATAGCTTTTAGGGTATATAAATGATCATAAAAAGCCATTCACATAATGGAAAGGGAAGCACACGTTGTACTATTTTACACATGCCGGTTAACTGACACAACTAAGAAAGTTGCAGAAAACACAACTTCGCAACTCTGCTCCAAGTCCACCAGCAGCAGAGAGAGGAAAAAGGACCCGAAGTGGTGCAAAATAAAATAGTTGTCAGATTGTGTTGAACCCATTAAGTTGATGTAAAGGCTGCAGTGAGCCCAAAACAACACTAACCTGATTTCGGATAAACGGCAGCCATGATGTCATCGTCCCTAAACTTGAATTCCTGTGCAAACTCCAGGCTCTCTAAGGAGTGAGTTTCTCTAGGAAGCAGAAGTCCCTGATACTGCAGAATCAAGCCGTCAGAAGACATGTTAAGAGCGTTGACTAGAAGCTGTTGTCAGCTTTGTTTGCAACTCGCGAGCATAGACTGTATATATAAATGGACGTAGGGTCCGTGACGTCACCCATAGGATTCTGCAGAGTTGCCGAGAAGCCCTTAGTAGGCGGAGTCGGCCACTAACGGCTCGACAGTGGCGTCAGAGTATGGAGCTAATTTCCTGCCATAACTCCACAAACAAACTAAACAGGTTTTACAAATGCCTTATGATTCACTAACAAACACAATGTGGTTTGCAAATACAAAACACCATCTACAAACTAATGCATTTAGTTTTGCAAAGAAAAAACGTATCTATCAAACAAACACATAACATTTTTCTAATAAATCATGTTTCAGAGACAAATTCAGCTTAGGTTTTACAAGTACACAACTTTTTTTTACAAGTGCACAAATTTGTTTTACAACTACAACACTTTGTTTTACAACTACAAAACTTTTTTTTACAAGTGCACAAATTTGTTTTACAACTACAACACTTTGTTTTACAACTACAAAACTTTTTTTTACAAGTACAAAACTTTTTCTTCTCACGGCGGAATATTACTGCCAAAAGTCACGTGACTGGAATATTACTGCCAAAAGTCACGTGACTGAGTCACGTGACTTTTGGCAGTAATATTCCGCCGTGGTTGTCACTACCCGATCCGTTCACCTGCCCGATCGGTACTGCGCATGTGCGAGATGGTCCGCCATATTGGACAACTCTGTACGGCAACCCAACTAGGACACTTGACACAGTGGCTTTTGGCAAAGCACACAAAAAAAAACTCAAAAAACCGAGAGAGATGAGTTATTGTTATTACAACGTGACTTCACTATTATTTAACAACTATTTCTATTGGGTTCTTTTATTTGGGGTTAAGTACATTGTCAGAATAAGTGAGAAATGGATTTAACTTCTGTTAGACAGCTATCATACTGAATAAATATTTATGCAAAAACGTATGGCATAATAATGTATATCTAATTACATTTAAAAATGTATGGCATTAATAATGTATATCTAATTACATTAACTGTGAATGTCTTTCATTTTATTTAAAATGAACAATTACATACAACATTTTCCATAAAAAAGTTGATTCAAGAACAAATCTCTGTTATTAGATCAGTACTTTTCTTATATGACTATTATTGCTAAATTTGAAAGGTCTTTACCAGCTTTGGAATTATATATATATATATATATAGCACCTTCTGCCATCCCATCTCTACTGACAATCATTAACACTTAGATTTTATGATATCGTAAGCATCGTCAGTGATTGACTTGAACACTGAGAATGTATTTATTAACTTCAGACATTTTCATATACAAATGTGATCATACACCAACACACTTTTTAGAGATACACATTTTTCACACACAACGCACAACCATTTACTAAATTAAACCATATCCCATCATAATACGAGCAAATAAAAAGGCACAACAATAAATATATTATGTGTGTGTGTGTGTGTGTGTGTGTGTGTGTGTGTGTGTGTGTGTGTGTGTGGGGGGGGGGGGGTTGTTAAGATCCAGGTCCAATGGGGGCAGAGGGGAGAGGTGGGTTCAGCATCCTACAGGAAATGTAATTTGCATGTAATATTATTTATTAATATGGAATAATTTAACTGGAGTTTGTTATCCTTTAATTTTGCTTGATTAATTATATTGCAGGTTGTGGGTAACAGCCAGTCCATGGTAGCAGCACGGGAACAGCTTATTCCTCTGAACTTGTGTGCTTTCCGTTCAAAAACTGCAGGAACCCTAAACACAGACACAACCCCCTTCCCTTTGTGGTGTATCACAATGCACAATCTCAACTATTGTAAACACGATAATAAGTAGAGCAATCCTTCCTCAAAGTAAATCTTGTCTTCCAGTATTTTTCACGAGTCCAGTATAGTATTTAACTAGACCAAGGTAGCAAGAACTAGTTTATCTTTGTTTTATATATATAATTCCAAAGCTGGTAAAGACCTTTCAAATTTAGCAATAATAGTCATATAAGAAAAGTACTGATCTAATAACAGAGATTTGTTCTTGAATCAACTTTTTTATGGAAAATGTTGTATGTAATTGTTCATTTTAAATAAAATGAAAGACATTCACAGTTAATGTAATTAGATATACATTATTAATGCCATACATTTTTAAATGTAATTAGATATACATTATTATGCCATACGTTTTTGCATAAATATTTATTCAGTATGATAGCTGTCTAACAGAAGTTAAATCCATTTCTCACTTATTCTGACAATGTACTTAACCCCAAATAAAAGAACCCAATAGAAATAGTTGTTAAATAATAGTGAAGTCACGTTGTAATAACAATAACTCATCTCTCTCGGTTTTTTGAGTTTTTTTTTTGTGTGCTTTGCCAAAAGCCACTGTGTCAAGTGTCCTAGTTGGGTTGCCGTACGGAATTGTCCAATATGGCGGACCATCTCGCACATGCGCAGTACCGATCGGGCAGGTGAACGGATCGGGTAGTGACCATTATACATCCATGGTAGTGACAGTGGTTGTGCTCATACACACTCACACATGCTCACTCACACATGCTCCACAGCAGCAGGGGCCACTACTGAGTCCATTGGGAAGGCGGGAGGTTGAGCAGAGCATGGAACAGCTCTTGCCAGCCTGATCATGACAGCGGTGTTTCTAGCGATCCAGCATCTGAATTTAGCGATCACAACGAAAACAGCCAAGACACATATTGAGCCCAGAAAATGAATGTTCTTAGGGCTGTAAATATAATAAGCCTTTGTCTAAAATAGACAACATTGTAACTAAGGAGATTTAAACTATACAGCGATTCTGCACTCGGTCAATCAGCTGCTCTTCATTTTCTTTCCTGCTATATTCAATGAGTGATACAAATATTTTTTACCATACGTTCTGAATAAAACTGATACTGTTGGACTCGGTACTAGTTGACTGCTACCAGAAATAAAAGGAAGTACTTTACTGTGTACTTTGTGAGTAATCCTCTGTCAGAGTCCCCTCCATAGTACATAATGCATGTTTTTTGCTATCTTTGATGAATGATAAAAGGGTCATTCCAGAATTGGAGGACAATTTAGACACCAACATTTTTGAAAAATGAACCTTTCATTTGATTATTTTTTGTTATGTATTGAGGAAAAACAGATAATAAACCATAAAAAAAAGTGATTTGCCCAGCTAAGGCATCAAATGTATATTTTCCAATGAAGAATTAACCCTGTTACTCTAATTATAGTAACAGGGTTGCAAGTAACAGGGTTGAAAATCAATGCTAATTTTAGCTTTTACCTCAGGAATTAATGCTAGCTGCACAATGTAATGCTATTGTCAAGGAATGGACACACTTTATATTATATTTATATTTATATATATTTAACAAAAGAAAGATACATTTGAAATTAATTTGTTTTTGTCTCATAATTTGAGTAACAGGGTTGCGTTTGTATGAGTGCCACACTCCTTCAAGAGTGACAAGATTGGAAATATATTACAAATAAAAGAGAGGACTTAGTTTTGGTCTACCCATGGTAGTAGCACATGGCTTGCTGATGTCCTTTCCACTGTGTCATGCGACAAACAGTTTTTTCACTTCCTCTGCCAAGCTAAAAAGGTTTCGGTAACAGGGTTGCGCGCATGTTGAGGGACACACCTTCTGTGCAAAATTACTGTTATTTAAAATGTGTTTATGATTTAACAAATTGATTTTACCATTACAAGACACATATATCAATAGAATAATACCAAAAAAGTAAATAAAAACCCTATTTTAAATGTTATAGTTGACATGCAAGTTGGTCACCAAGAAGCTGGGACAAGAGAAAAGGGCAATTTTAGGGGGTGTTCGAGAGCTATTTGATATTTTAAATAATATTTTGAAACCACTTTTTCTACTACTACTAACAATACATTGAAGTACTTTTACTGTGTATTTTTTTGAGAAATACTCTGTCAAAGTCCCCTCCTGAGAACAAAATCAAGCCACTTCTTCTAAGTTTGATGAGGGAAAAAAATATTTTTTGGGTGATTTAATGGGTGATGTAACATTAATGACAGACATAATATGAGGTCCTTGGCACTCTAGAGGGGTCATTTTGTGATCATGGGGCATCACCCTTACAGCATCAGGACAATATCATATGGAGTCAGATACTGGAAGTGGGCTAGAGGCGTTAACTGGGACTGATGGAAGGATGAGGCTGATGAGACTGAAGAATCTGCGAGGAACGAACTAGCGGCAGAGGAATAATTATATATTAAAAGACAGCAGCATCATAAGAGGGCAACCATGTGACAGAGTGTGTTACTTTGCTGAAGGATATTTGTGACCAGCTATCCATTCCAGGCCAGACTCTAAAGACTTTCCAAGGTGTGAAAATGCTGCTGCCGGAGTACTGACTGGAAGTATTGCTGATATCATGTCTACCATCCTCTTAAAATACTCTGTCCAACAATATCAGTCTCAGGAAGAAATGTTTTTTAACGCTTATTAAAAGAAAAACATGCATTCTTGTACTCAGGAGGGGACATTGACAGAGGATTACTGGAAAAGTACACAATAAGTACTTCATAGTACTTGTGGGGGTAGTTTCAGTAGTACTGAGTCCAACAGGATCAATCTCACGAAGAACTAATGGCAACAAAAAAGAATTCCCTCATCAAACTTAGCAGAAGTGGCTTGATTTTGTTCACAGGAGGGGACTTTGACAGAGTATTTCTCAAAAAATACACAGTAAAAGTACTTCAATGTATTGTTAGTAGTAGGCTTACTAATACAAAGTCAAACCGTATCAATTTCATTAAGAACTAATGGTAACATTTTATTTTTATCATTCATCAAAGATAGCAAAAAACATGCATTATGTACTATGGAGGGGACTCTGACAGAGGATTACTCACAAAGTACACAGTAAAGTACTTCATTTTATTTCTGGTTGCAGTCAACTAGTACCAAGTCCAACAGTGTCAGTTTTATTAAGAACTTGTGGTAAAAAATATTTGTATCACTCATTGAATATAGCAGGAATAAAAATGAAAAGCAGCTGATTGACCAAGTGCAGAATCGCTGTATACAGGGGCG